ATCTGTTTGTCAATATTTTATAAATGTATCTACACCAACACACCAGATTCACATTACTGACCCATTCTTTGTGACACAGCATCAGTTTACAGACCAGCTGGAGCTTTACACTGATTCATGTTTAGATTAACCAAATTCAGACCTGAGTATCTGCAGTGTCTGTGAATTTCTCAGCAGACTGGAGATTTCTGTCACTCCAGAGTCTGCTATTTGATTCCTGCTCAGATCCAGCTCTCTGAGGTTTGAAGGGTTTGAATTTAGAGCTGCAGCCAGAACATGACAAGCTCCTTCTGTGATACAGTTGTTCTTCAGACTGCATAAAGAGAAAACACTTCAGTTTTAATCTGAATATTTACCAGTATGTTTCAGCTGACAGTTGACAAATACTGCACTTAAAGGGATAGTTCACCCAAAAATGAAAATTACCCCATGATTTGCTCACCCTCAAGCCATCCTAGATGTATATGAAGTTCTTCTTTCAGACAAATACAATCAGAGTTATATTAAAAATGTCCTGGCTCTTCCAAGCTTTATAACGTGGGGTCGGACTCAAATGAGAATTAAAATAGACTACTGTAACATTACTAGTCATGTAACATGTGAAATGATGTAAGATACTCACATCAGTGTGTTGAGTGTACAGTGTTTATCCTGCAGTAGAGCAGCGATCTGATTCACTCGTGTGTCTCCTAGTTCATGTTCACTCAGATTCAGCTCTCTCAGGAGTAACGGGTTTTTACCCACAATTCCAGTCACATACTGACAGCCTTCATCTGCAGCAGGACCCACAAACCTGCAGAAGAGAAGATGAAGTAAACTCCATTTCAGAAATAAACAACATCTGACTCTGAAACACTGTGCAAGCGATGCATTTACAAACTGTATTAATAAAATATTTTTTTATCAATACATTGCCTGCATATCATGTATTTTGCATTATTTCATCACGTCTCACCTCAGTGTCTTGAGTTGAGAGTTTGGATCCTGTAGTAAATCACTGAGCTGCTTCACTCCTGATGGTCCAGGATCATTTCCTGTGAGATCCAGCTCTATCAGGTGTGAAGGGTTTGATCTCAGAGCTGAAGACAGAGCTTTATAACCTTCTTCAGTGATACTGCAGTCTGAAAGTCTATTTAAGAAAGGTTTATTATATTCAAAGTTATATAATTAATATTACTACAAAAAGGTTTAATATCTTTCTTCTTCTGATTGGAGAAGAAAGAAAAAAACATTTCACCATCTGACAGGAGCATGTCTTTCCTTTTTTTTTTTTTAGATTACTACAGTAATATTTTAATTGTGATCCAAAGAGAATGTTATTATTAAAACCAAACAACGGTTCATTACATTCACCTGAGTTTCTC